TGACATGGAGGAATTGATGCCTCTGCCCAAAGAATCACCCTGGACATATAGGCTGGATGGCAACAGCGTATATCAGGTCTTCGATTCTGAGGCTTCTGCTGACCAGCAGGCACCTATTGTCCAGATCCCCTCGTTGCGCGATTTCTATATGGATCTGGACGCCGTTGTGGATGTGTCGACCGACGGACCTGCTAAGAGCTTCGCATTCAAGCGGCTGTCATACTTGGAGGGCAAATTCCAATTATATACGCTGCTCAATGAGTACCAGGAGATGGCCGACAGCAAGAAGGTTCCTCACAGGGACTTCTACAACGTGCGCAAAGTGGATACCCACGTTCACCATTCGGCATGCATGAACCAGAAACATCTTCTTCGCTTCATCAAGAGTAAGATGAGAAAGTCTCCGGACGAAGTTGTCCTTTTCCGAGACGGAAAACATCTGACCTTAAGAGAGGTCTTTGAGAGTATCAACTTGACTGCTTATGACCTGAGCATTGACACTTTGGATATGCACGTAAGTCTCTCATCACATCCCATGTCTTTGATTATCCGAACTCTACAGTTGATGAAAGAAGATGCAGTCTGAATGCATCAGTATTTGCTCCCCCAACGCCCACTCTTAAGCCACAGGTATTACTATCGCTGACTCTGACTGCGTAGGCACACACCGACTCTTTCCATCGATTTGACAAATTTAATTTGAAGTATAATCCGGTCGGAGAATCCCGACTGCGTGAAATTTTCCTCAAAACAGACAATTACATCAAAGGTCGCTACCTCGCAGAGATTACCAAGGAAGTAATCTCTGACTTGGAATCTAGCAAATATCAAATGGTGGAATGGCGGATCTCGATCTATGGTCGTTCCCTTCAGGAATGGGACAAGCTTGCGGCCTGGGTCGTGGACAATAAGTTGTTCTCGCCTAATGTTCGCTGGCTCATTCAAGTGCCTCGTCTCTATGATGTCTACAAAGCAAGCGGCATGATGGAGAACTTTGAACAGGTTATCACCAATGTCTTCCAGCCGCTGTTCGAAGTGACCAAAGATCCTTCTAGTCATCCCAAACTCCACATCTTCCTCCAGCGAGTGGTTGGATTCGACAGTGTGGATGACGAAAGCAAACCCGAGCGCCGGCTGTACAGGAAGTACCCCATCCCCCGGGAGTGGAGCACCAAACAGAATCCGCCTTACACTTACTGGTTATACTTCATGTTCGCCAACATCGCATCCCTCAACAACTGGAGGAAACGACGTGGATTCAACACCTTTGTTCTACGCCCTCATTGCGGAGAGGCAGGTGATCCGGATCATCTGGCTGTCGGCTTCCTCTGCTGCCACAGCATCAGTCATGGCATCTTGCTGCGCAAGGTACCTCTACTGCAATACCTTTACTATCTGGATCAGATCGGCATTGCCATGTCACCACTCAGTAACAACGCTTTGTTCCTCACATACGATAAGAACCCGTGCGCTACCTTCTTCAAACGAGGACTCAATGTGTCTTTGTCCACCGATGATCCATTGCAGTTTGCATTCACAAAGGAGCCTCTCATTGAGGAATACTCTGTCGCCGCGCAGATCTACAAATTCAGCGCAGTTGACATGTGCGAACTCGCCAAACATTCAGTTGTCCAAAGTGGATTTGAGCTCTCCCTTAAAGAAAGATGGCTTGGCTCGAATTGTTCAATGCCTGGAGTCGCTGGCAATAATGTTGCAAAGAGCAATGTACCAGATATTCGTGAGGCATTCCGACATGAGACTTTGCTCGGAGAATTGTCCTTGTAAGTTTCCCATGATATCTTCGGCGTCAAGGAAACGAAGCTAACTGTACATCTTTCATCAGGATCGAGCGATATTCCGAGGGCAATGGGACCGTAGAGAAGAAGAGCTTGGCTCCAGGTCCACCAGGGGCAGCGGTGTCCTCCAATTATGGTAAATCTATCTTGCGGGAATGATCAGGAATTATGCAGCAGACTGACTTCGCAATCACCAATTCTTAGATCACCATACAACTAACCTCGAGTCCCAATCTGAGCTGGGTTTAAGTGTAGCTGGCATTACAGATTCTTTACCCAGCGAGGCCCATGGTACAAATCAGATGGCTACCTCCCCGTCGACTCCATCGACTTACCTAGCTCGATCACCTCGCCTTGGAACGGGTGAGTTCTCGTCTCCTGGTGGAAACCCTGCCCTCGGAACAGGAGTTGGAGGACCAGACGGTCTGCCAGAGCAGAAGATTTTCCCGGGCATCGTCCATGAGAGGGCTCGAAAGGGAAATATGCAATAGAGTTACACGTGAGCGGGTTTGGGTGACACTGACACATATCACGGCCTTAGGGAAGAGAGCAAGATATTGGAGCAATCTTAATGAAAATTGGCTCCTCAAAAAATTGAAGTGACTATCTTCGGACACAACAGTGCCCTCGTAGTAGATATCACGGGCATGCTGCACATGCACAATCCTGAGCTCTATGAAAAAGTCGAGAACGCCAAATGAAATAGCCACAGTTGCGTGAATTCAATATGCACCCCGTTTATACCAATCACACTCCTCTCAGTCATAACATACGAATTAGATCTTCGAACTATTTCAAATGGCCCAGCTGCCTCTTCGTTCTGGCAGTCCCCAGCCTTCAAGATTGGTATCTTCTTCGGCCATGCCAGGCTCCTGTCTCGCCCACTCCTGGATATATAGACGGAGAGCTTTCCACCGTACACAGGTATCCGCGAGATCATCCTTCCCTGGGGCTACAACATAGCCTCTAGCATCAGTTTGCAAGTCGTCCCGGCGAAGATCCTCGACGGAGATGCCCGAAATTCGGCTGAGTTCGTAATCATAATAACGGGCAAGGCACGGGTAACCCAAAGACAAGTAATTATAAATTTGAGTCACAAATCCATCATGGAATTCGGACTCGATGGCTTTCTGGAGATTAGGGCTCGCGGGCTTCCGGGAACTATGGTTTCCCGGGGAGGCTGAGAGACGGTCCAGATGTGTATGTGAATGAGATGGGCTGAGTCCCATGCTAATACCGGCCTCGTCGACGCGAGGCATGGGGGTAACAATTCCAGGTAGCGGACCGTGCACTTCCCGCTCTTGGCCCTCGTCCTTGCAACAAGTGCCCATCCAAAGACCAGCACCCTTTCCGCCGCCACGAGGAGGCGCTGCGTACCACAAGTCACCACAGCCAGTGCAAGGATCATCCACGCCACGAGACACTGCATCAGTGCTAGAGTGCTCACATATTGTCCCCTCGGGCGAGGCGCTTCGAGGAAGGACGATGTCATTGCCAAGCATGGGCGGGCTCTTGCCATTCTTACTGTGCTCTGATGAAGGCTTTGGTTGTCCAGATGCGCCCATAGCCCGGATCCTCATTTCAGCCTCCTCCTTGTGGTGGCGCATGTACTCAAGTTCCCAGGACAAATCTGCCGAAGATTGTCGTCGAGATTTGAGCTGATGATACTTCATAGACGCATGATAATCGTCTGAGTTTCCATCATCTTCGTCGATGGCGAAATGATCAACAGGCTCATACACTTGCTCGTTGGGAAACGCAGCCAACGCTTGCTCCTTCAACTGGATCTGTGCGGATCGAGCGGCAAGGGAGAGCAAGAATTCCGAGATCTCTCCATCGCAGATTTCGCGGGGTAACTTGCTCGTGTATAGATCTCGTGTCGCTTTATTGGAAGGCCCCGGGGGCGAAGTGCACGCCGAATGCGATCTGGAGTTGTCCGATTCTTCGCTGCTGTTAGAGGGGATCGATGGGAGATCTGGAACTCGAAACGAGTGTCTGCGGGCTTGTTGTCGGCGCAAAAGACTGGGATACGAAAATTGAGACTCGGATGGCAGATAAGTGGGGGCATGCGAGTTTGTATCTGGCCACAATGTCGTGTCTGGACAATTGATTGTACGGGGTGTTGAAGATCCTACGGCATTGTGCCGTTGCGGAAACCGGACAGGTGTGCCTTTTCGGACAGAGCGAGTGTGGGTTTCTATCAGGTCGGGTTTGAATCTTCTCGGAGCCGTCGATGTCTTGCTATGTGACGCAGAATTCCCCTCGTGTACCTCAGAAGTCGAATGAGACCGTCTATTACTAGTTCTGCTTGTTTCAATTGGTTCAGGTAGGAATCTTCTGATCGGCCGATGGTCACTGAGCTCTTTTGAATGAATTCCGGACTTTGCTAGAGCGGGTTGATTTGCTCCGCTCGAAGCTGGCTGTTGGACGTTGGAGCTTCGCGATATGGTTTCGATTGGTTGGACCAGGAATCTCCGAGGGACCCTGGGTGATACTTGACTTTGCGAAGGCGCAGATCCGAGCGCTCGATGTCGATTATCCGAAGAAATTGGCTGCCGCTCATAAAGAGTGGTCAGATCTTGAAGTTTGTCTGTAGATCGACACGCCTCTCTTCCATCCTCCGTGGGCAGGTTAGGTTTCCCATGTGCTTCTGGGGGGTGGCCCATTGTCTAATGCTCGCAATCTATGACAGCTCTGAATCATGCTCCTATCAGATATCAAGATTGTTGGCAGAGAATAAACATTTTTTGGTTCAGATCCAAGGCACTTTGGGTCTTATCGGTGTGTTTTGTTTATGACGAGAGCATGCGGGGTCGAAAAAGCGGTCTCGATGTGAGTGGTAGAGAAACAAAAAGGGCGTAACCAGATGCAATACATCAGGTATGATGGATCATTTTGTTTGAAGAAAAAAAGGATTAAGTTGAAATCATGGCGCAAGGTAAAAGGTTATAAGGGACGTTGAGCTTTGCGCGCCAGAAAGAAGTTGGGGAAGTGAGAGAGCATGTGTGGTATTTGACTGTACAGTAACTTACCAGGGGTCCACACAAAACAAAAGCAGGCCAGTCAATTCTCGTCCCTTTCTAATGACATCAGCTCTGTCACAATATTACCATACGCGATAAGTGGGAAAAGTCCCGATAAGATAAAAGTCTCAAATGTTCTTTTTGACTTCATTTCCTACATATGTCGTCCTTTTGTTCAGCAATGGATTCTAAAGACAAGCGGAAATTTGACGGGAATACTGATGATCCTCATCCTGGGACGGTCTCAAAGCAGCGGAAGGTAATCGGACCTTCTCTCCCTCCGCCTCAAGAGACCGATGCAGCGAACGGTGAGACTAGCAATGATGATGATGATGGCCACGACGACGACGACGATGATGATGATGATGATGATTTCGGTCCAAGCCTTCCTCCGTCCGGTCCACTGGAAGGCCTTGTACATTCAGTGCCTACGGCTCCTACCGCTTCTGACATAGCTAAACCGGTGGAAAAGGAAAGCCAGCGAGATCAATGGATGCTGCAACCTCCTTCCCATTCCGACTGGTCTTCCAAGGTCGACCCTACACAACTCCGAAATCGCAAGTTCAATACAGGCAAATCAGCCACGGCACCTAAGAACATGGATTCCTCGTGGATTGAGACTCCAGAGGAGCGAATGAGGCGACTGCAGGATGCAGTTATGGGCGTTGCTGCCTCAACAAATCAGCCCGAGGACCACAAAGGTACTACAAAGGCAAAGCTGATGGAGGATCAAATCAAGAGATACAAGGTAAGTTTTGGCATGTACTTTCCTCGGAAAGGCACTTGATACTTTATTTCCTCCGTGTTCTTCGTTTTGTTCTAACATAAATGTTCTTGTTGTAGGACATGACTGGGAAGAACAGTCGGTTGGAAACCCAAGGTCAGACTGAGAAAGAAGATGATGATCCAAGTGCGCGTGCCTTTGATCGAGAGAAGGATATGGCAGTTGCTTCAAAGATATCCAGCGCGCAGCGCCGGGAGATGGTAAAGAAGGCTGCGGATTATAACACACGTTTTACAAAGGGCAACTTCTTATAGCTATTCCTAAAAGACCGGAACAAATACACCCGTATGACTATTCTTATACGGAGTATATAGCCTTACACGATACTTAGTCCAATTCCCTTTCTAATCTTCTCCGGATATGCGGCAGAACTTGGAGTGGCAAACGGAAGGGCGGGATAGTCAACCAATCAGAGTGGCTGATATTCACCTTATTCACCTTATCCTCGGCCTCGTATTTCCCTTAAATTCCACCTTTCCAAGGTTGGATCTTCCATTATTCTTTGCACTTATCTCTCTCTCTCTCAAACATGTCTTTTTCAAATTTGGTCTCCGACATTGCTTTTCGTGATGCTCGTGTGGATGATGGCAGCTCGCAAATCTCTCACGCCCGATCTCACCGGTCTCATGCGACCGCTCGGTCGTATGCCAGCACCGCAGCCACAAGCGTCAGCATTTCTGGCGAAGTTTCCAGCCAGCTACACTCCGGATACAGCCATCCCCTGACCAGAGCATGGCAGGCTGATAGGCAATTGACAAAGGTCCGCCCTCAATGATGTTATGGAACACCTAATCGCACTGGCAACTCATCGCTAATACATTGTCTCTGTAGGATATGCTCATCTATCCATTGTTCATCACAGACAACCCTGACGAGGAGACATCAATTCCTTCGTTGCCCAATCAATACCGCCGTGGAATTAATCGCCTGGTTCCTTTTCTTGCCCCCCTTGTTCGGAAAGGGCTGCGCTCAGTAATGCTATTTGGTGTTCCGCTTCAACCGTCCGCCAAAGATGCACTGGGAACCGCCGCAGATGACCCAGATGGTCCTGTGATTCAAGCTATTCGTCTTCTCCGGTCTCGTTTCCCTCAACTTTATATCACAACCGATGTATGTCTCTGCGAGTATACCTCGCACGGTCACTGCGGTATCTTACGAGAAGATGGAACCCTTGACAATGCGCAATCCGTCGACCGGATCTCCGATGTAGCTATTGCCTACGCAGCGGCTGGAGCTCACTGCGTGGCCCCATCAGACATGAACGACGGAAGAATCCGGGCTATCAAGCTCAAGTTGATTGAAGCTGGTATGGCACACCGTGTACTTTTGATGTCTTACAGTGCCAAATTCAGCGGCTGCTTATATGGACCGTTCCGTGATGCGGCTGGGTCATGTCCCTCATTCGGGGATCGTCGGTGCTATCAGCTTCCCCCAGGCGGCCGCGGTCTTGCCCGACGTGCGATACAGAGAGATATGGCCGAAGGTGCAGATATTATCATGGTCAAGCCAGCCAGCAGCTACCTTGATATCATCCGGGATGCCAAGGATTTGGCACCGGATCTTCCAGTGGCCGCCTACCAAGTCAGTGGTGAATTTGCAATGATCCACGCCGCTGCCAAGGCTGGTGTCTTCAATCTCAAGGATATGGCCTTCGAAAGCACCGAAGGCATATTGAGAGCAGGCGCTGGGATTGTGATCAGTTATTTCGTCCCGGAATTCCTCGACTGGCTTTAGCTGTTTATTCAACCCGCCATTTTCTCATTTTCTACACTTTCTCCACTCCAAAAGTGCGACTTTTCGGGCCTGTCATTTGTGATTACCTCGACTGCATTTCTATCTGACTTCTATTCATGATGGGTCTGATGTATTGAACATAAAATGCTACTTGGAACTGGATAGATTCCCCTTATGTGATATGATGTCTCCATTTTCTTGCTTGTTAACGATTACCCCTTATTACAAATGCTATTAATTTATTATTTCTTCTGTCCAACCGATGTGTAGCAGATATCTGATCTCTAATTGAGATGTAAAAGTCTTGCAGAATCGAGATTGAATTGAGGTAAATGATGCAGAGGTATTGTGTATAGACTGCAAGATGACACCCGGTTCGCCGCACAGAACGCTAATAACATCCTTCGGCTATCAGTCAATGATAACAGCCCAAGCTTTATATCTCTGGATTCTTGATGGCGATCGACGTCAACCGAGCAGGAAATGGAATGACGTTCAATGTACCAACTGATCAAGCGACCCATTGGGCTGGAGGATGCCACTCAATGGGAGTGGTGAAAAGGGAAAACCATTCGACAGCGACAGTGGATATCAAAATTAAAAAAGAACAAAATCAGTGTAAAAATCAAAATCAAAATCAAACCAGAGGGAGAAACCCATGGGGAATCATAATTTTGCTCTCCCACTTATGAGCGTTGGTAGACCAGCACCGTATAGCGGAAAGTCGTCTGGCATTTCCACCTACAAAAATCAATTCACGTCACTTCGTTCACATAGCAAAGCTGGGTTTTGATCCCTGAAACATGTAACCTGCAATGTTCGTGTTGACAATCTCTCCTGGCGCCACATAAACCCCACGAGCAAGACGAACCCCTGGGTAGATGATGCACCCCGCGCCCACATAACAATCTTCTTCAATGATGACCTGACGACCTTGATACCGACTTTGCGAGCCTTTGCGCTCTTGCATGTTGGGATGAGCAGTTGAACTAATTATTTTGACGTTGGGGCCTATCCATGTATGAGCACCGATGCGGATAACACAGTCATCCACAAACAGGCAATTCTCCGAGATCATGACGTCTTCGCCGAGGTGGATATTATAACCATAATGGCAACTAAAAGGGGCCTCGACGACCGCCCCTTGGCCGATGGATCCGACAGATCGAGGCGCGCCGGTTCCAGCTGGTGAATTGACAATGGAAGATGCCGGGGGTACGATGACCTCCTTCAGGAGGCGGTTTTGCTCCTTCGAACTGATGCCGTTGAGCGGATTGCAGGCGTTGTTAAATTTCCACAGTGCACCTCGGCAACGATCCCTTTCCTCTACGAGGTGGACGTCAAATGGTCGGTAGAGCTTGCCTCTGATCATCTTTTCCTTCTCGGTCTCGTCACTTGAGACGGCACGGCCAGAGAGCTGATGCTCGATGCTAAGTGCCATTCGAGCCTGCGCCTGGGGACTATGGGTATCCACAGCCGCCGCCGGCAATGTTCGTTGCTCGGGCCCATTTTGGAACAAGGGCATATTTGATTTAGGATGAGACGGATGACTCAGGTCCCGAAGTGAAGAGATGACCGGATAGTCAGGTTTGGGACGTCCTTCCCGCGATAGTTCATGGATGGGTGGAACTTCCCGATAATCGACGACTTTCGCTATAGGTTCGGACGGATAAGGGGGATGACCGGTACTAGATCCGGGCCCTGGGCCAGCACCTGGCCAAGCTTGTTTCGACCACGCATGGTTGGATGGTGTATGTGTTGGGCTGGTGTTGTATTGTTGAACAGGGCGGTCATTCTCCTCCACCAGGGGCCTGATTTTCGTCGCGTCGACATGCTCCACTAAGTTAGGTTGTCGTTCTGGTTGTCGAGGTGTTTCTTGCATATACGGGCCATTGATTTCTGAATAGCCTTCTTTGGATTGCAAAGGGATCGGGGTTTTTGTACTAGATGGCTTTTGCCAGGTGCTTCGGGATGAATACCCTTCACATAGGAACCCTCCACGAAGACAGTTGTTGCCTACAATGCGTCATTAATGTCGCTCCTTTGGTTGAAGTTGGACAGGGAACGATTTGAAAAAAGAGAGAGAGAGAGAACGTGGGAGCTAGAGCTATTAGGAGTGGACTTACATGCCGGATGTTGCTCGTCGCATTTCTTTTTCCTGCGGCGGCAGGTCATACAGCCTGTCTTCGTTCGGTTACTAAATACGCGCTTCCTCTTCGGAGCCACCTGCATTGCCCCATGTCGATCTGCCGCATAACCAGGAGAGGATGGCTGTTGAGTGCCGGGGGTGGAGCGATTTGTTATGGACTTTTCTTGGCCTGCCTCGCGTTGAAGAGCGTCTGCTAAGTGGGCGTCCGATGCATCAATTTGCTGGGCCCGTTGTGCTTGGGTGATCAGCTGAGAATCATATTCTGACCAAGGACTATTGGCGGACGTCTGGCCTGCATCGTTGCCCTCAGAGCGATGAGATGGTGTTGCAGAATGATTGCCACGCTCCATCTCCGAGACCGATCCTGGTATACTGCCATTCGGATTGGGTTGGTTGCTCTCAGCAGGACGGTTCACTGGGCTCCTAGAAGCATTCGCAGAATCTCGTTCTCGGGACTGTGATCTCTTTCTCTTATTCTTGTTGTGAGAGCCGCTGGGCGAGGATCTTTGCGACCACTTCTCTTGATCATTGGCAGGATCATCCCGGTCATCTCGCTGACTGGGATCTAAGTTGGTCTTTTCCTTGGCTGGCGCACGTTCTTCATTGGGGATGGAAGTGGGTGTTGACCCATTCCCTTTCCCATTGGCATTGCCAGGGTTCACGGGTTCTCTCCCATTAACTGCGGTAAATCGGGATGGGCTGTGCTCCGTCACCGTTTCAGCCCCAGAGTCGTGACTACCGTTCATGACGGGTGCAGCAGCAAGAGCCGTCATCATAGAAGCCAAGAAGAAAAAAAAGAAAAAAAGGGCGAAACCAGAGACCACGAAGGATAGGGCTGAGGTTACACCGAGAAGTGCAAGAGACTATTCAAGTATATGGCGGAAATAGGCAAAAGTTGCAACTCAATTGCCAAGAAATAGCCCCCAAATATGAGCGATAAGTCTCAAAGAGAAGAGAATAGAAGCTTTTCAAAGTTCTGGAAATACTTCCAATATCTTAGTCAACAAGTGTTTGCGTGGAATTGCCAGTTAAGTCACGCGCGGGTGGGGCGAGGGGATCGGGAGATTATCAGAGATAGTATACAAAGATGTGTTGAAGAAGAAGAGCATTCAACCAAGAGGGATTTCTTTTTTAAATATGAAAAAGAAAAGGATAAAAGAAAAAGAAGCAGCAAAGGGCTTGAATATAAAGGAGAGGGAGAGAGAGAAAGCCAAAGGAGGAAGAGACGGAAAATGGGGGAGAAGAGGGGAAGAGACTAATAAAAGAGAAGGGGAAACACCGAGCTAGGACCCTCTCTCTCACTCTCTCTCACTCTCTTTTCATGAAAAGTACAAAATAATAATAAATAATAATAAAAAAGAGTCCAATAACTAAAGGGAAAAAAAAAAGAGGGAAAGGGGCAG